GCTCATCTCCCTCAGCTCAGTGAGCCCTCCCCTCCGGGAAGCCCTCCCCTCCGGGAAGCCCTCCGCCACCCCATGGGCCCCCCATTCAGTCCTGTCCACACCAGGTCCTTGCTTTTGAGGATGGGTCTGTGCTTCCTCGTGTGACCCCTGTGAGGACGGGCCGTCCCAGCACCCTCGGCACAACTCTGGGCACAGCGGGCGCTCGGTGTCTGCTGAATGGAAGACTGAACTGTCCTCATTCACGAGAGCCTGGTGATGTGCACCTGCCGGTGCTCCCCCCACGTGGGAGGGAGGCTCACTCACTTCACGGGGGCAGAGCTGGAACCCCAACCCAGCCTCTGCCAGAGCAAGGGCTGAGAGGCTAAAGGCGAAGAAACCCCGGGGCCTCGTCGCCGCCGGCAGCAGCCCTGCTGACTGATGGGGCCTTTGGGGCGGTCTTCAGACCCTCCAAACCCGAGAACCACTGAGGCCCAAGAAGAAAGACTTAAAGCTAGACACCAGGTCGGGAGGCAGGCAGCTGGAGGAGGGTCTGGTAGTGACCGAAACCTCCAGGAGCCTCGTTTCCACTGTGACCTGAGTGTGTTCGAAGTTGCCGTCCACTTACGGGAAAATTACGGGAAAAGAAAAAAAGAGGGCCGAGTGCAGAGATGGGAGGGGGCTGCTGGCCGGGGTGGGGAGGAATGTAGCAGGGACGAAGCTTAGGCCCAGGCCCCACCTTCTTAGCAAGCGCTCCCGGGTGATTTGGAGGCCCTCAAGAGTCCCGGCCTGATGCCCTTCACCATCTCCTTGGCCTACACCCACTCAGAGCTGAGTCACCTCTCGTCTTGTTTTCCATGCGGGGAAACTGAGGCCTGTACCTTTGAAGAGGAGGTTGGCCTTGGGCAAGTCCAGCTGGTACCCGAAGGAGACGCTCGTGTCTTGCATCCTTGTGCTGGCCTCAAACTCCACGCCTACCTGCAGCTGGAGGGGCCAGGGCAACAGAGTCAGCATCCCAGACTGGACTCCCGGGCACACAAGCCCTGGGCAACCCATGCCTGGAAGTGCGCGCTCGCGGCCGGTCTCTGGACCAGCTCACCTGGTCGCTGGCTTTGTGGTAGTATGTCGCGTGCATGCCCGCCTGGCCCAACGTTACTGTCGCCAACCAGTTGTTCACTGTAAGAGAGCAGTGTGGGGTGGGGGTAGGTTACCAAGGGGACTTGAGAACCCAGGTCCCCTCGCCCAGACCCAGGAGTCCGAGGCCCGGCCCCACTCCTACCCTCGGGCCCCAGACTCACATGTGTATTTCCCAGCTAGAGACATGACAGTACCCTCCTCCCCAGGCCGCCGGTGGTAGACCAGCTCTCCGCCCAGTGCCAGACACGGCGTGATGCTCTGGAGGTAGTGGGCCACGAGGATTCCTGCGGGTGAGATGGCAGCTGTTACCTGGGCGAGGTGGGCAGTTTCTGCCCGGCCAGCGTGCTGGGCCAGACTCCTGCTCTGGGGGCCTGGAAGGCAGACCCCTGCCGGAGGCTCAGGGCCCGCCCTCAGGCCTCCCACACCGCTGCTCCATGGCGTTCACAGGGTGAGTGAGGCCGGTCTCCCAGACCCCGTGGGACCTCGTCTGGTCTGCACAACCCTGTGGAGCCGGCATTCAATCGCCATCATTTATAGAAGAGGCCGGGGGAGTTCAGTCCCTCACCCGTGGTCACAAAATGCGTGAGAACCACTCTGCCGCTGGGACCGGCAGGAGGGGAGGGTCAGTGAGAGCACACCTCAGGGTGCTAATGGCACTGCAGCCCACCACTCGGCTGTCACTGCAGCCCACGGTGTCACTTCTCAGTAAAGGAGCCTAAAGGAGCGGATGTGGGCAGAGCGTAGAGCTCGCCCAGTGCTCACCAGGACTGCCCCACTGCCCCTCGGCAGCTGGGACCCTGGAGGCCCCCGCGAGTGTTTGCTAACAGATGGCTCTCCATCGCTGGGCTGCATTCCTGAAGCCACGGGCTGAGACTCATTCATGCCCGTCTTCAGAGCCCAGGAGAGCAGCCCCCACACGTGATCTTCTAGGAGGGGAAGAAGCAGGGGGGAGACAGAGGGAGTGACAGGGAAACAGACAACAAGACACCTTCAGAGAGACAGGGAAGCAGAATCAGAAGCAGAGGACAAGGAAGAATGGAAGAGTCTCTGCAGAGAAACCCACCAAGACTGAGCAGAGAGGCTGTGAGGTCATGTAACCCAACAGGAAACAGGAAGACCCCGTAAGGGGAAGGCAGGGGCAAGCAGGGACAGGATAGAGCAAGATGCTGCTTCTCAAAGAAAATCAGATGCACAGATTCGAACTGGCCATGCATGGAGCAGGGAAGAAATGGGGGATGGGGGGCACACACGATCAGTGAGTGGGCACACCTGGGAGGGGGCTTCTGGGGAGGCTGGGGTCACAGGTGGGCTCACGGGAGCCACTGTGTACACTTCTTCACAAGCAGATGATACAATCAGCCCCCCGAGCCGGCATTAAACCATTACCAGCACACCTCTGGCCAGGAGCACCAGCATTCGATGGAAGGAAACTGAGGCCCACAGAATGAAGTGACTGACTAGATCAGGGTGGAGAACCTTTTTGTGCCAAGGGCCATTTGGATATTTATAACATCATTCGAAGGCCACATAAAATTATCAACTTGCCCTAACCGGTTTGGCTCAGTGGATAGAGTGTCAGTCTGCAGACTGAAGAGTCCCAGGTTCGATTCCAGTCAAGAGCATGTACCTTGGTTGTGGGCACATACCCAGTAGGAGGTGTGCAGGAGGCAGCTGATTGATGTTTTTCTCTCTATCCCTCTCCTTTCCTCTGTAAAAAATCAATGAAATATATTTTTAAAAAATTATCAACTTAAAAATTAGCCTGGATTGCCCTAACCGGTTTGGCTCAGTGGATAGAGCGTCGGCCTGCGGACTCAAGGGTCCCAGGTTCGATTCCAGTCAAGGGCATGTACCTTGGTTGCGGGCACATCCCCATTAGGGAGTGTGCAGGAGGCAGCTGATCGATGTTTCTCTCACATCGATGTTTCTAACTCTCTATCCCTCTCCCTTCCTCTCTGTAAAAATCAATAAAATATATTAAAAAAAAAAAAAATTAGCCTGGTGCCCAGCCAGAGGGGCTCAGTGGTTGAGCGTTGACCTATAAATCAGGAGGTCACGGTTTGATTCCTGGTCAGGGCACATGACCAATTTGGGGCCTTAATCCTGAGAAAGGGTGTGCAGGAGGCAGTCGATCAATGATTTTCTCTCATCATTGATGTTTCTCTCTCTCCCTCTCTGAAATCAATAAAAATATATTTTAAAAAAATTAGCCTGCTATATTTGGTCAAACATTTAATTAACTCACCCCTAATGCCTTGACAGGGCCAGACCAAATTTCTTGGGCCTTATATGGCCCATGAGCTGGACATCCCCCACACGTGGGCCAGAGCCATAGAGGGACTTAAAACTCACTAGCCTCTCAGGTCTGCCGACTGCTGGGACTGAGGGCGTGTGACCCCTGATCATCTCTCCAGCTGTCCCTCCTCTCATCTCCTGGGCCTGCCTTGCCCCCTGACCCCCAGCTCCACCCTCCTCCCTGGCCTGCCTGAGCTTCACCCTCTCCCAGCAACCTACAGAGGGATCCTGCTAAAGCACAAACTCAACCCCGTCCTCCCTCTGCTCAGAACCTGTGTGGCTCCCGTGCCCAGATCCTGGCTCCTCACAGCACAGCCGCAAGGCCCCATGTGGCTTGGCTCCACCTTCCAAACAGAGCCACCTCCCTTCCCTAACACAGCCACACAGGCGGCCACACGTGCCCCTAGGCTGCCATCACCCCCAGGGGACTCTGGCACTCGCCCGCTCTGGTCCCCCGCTTCCACCACTCCTGCCATCGAGAACACGAGTCTACGGGAACGCAAATCCTGTGGTCTTCACTACTGAAGTCTCGCTCCCAGGCCCCACGTGCCCGGTGGAATCTGGCTATTTCCATGCCGCCCTCCCTTCTCTGCTCCCCAAGCACATATCCGGGGCCTCTGGCCCGTGGCCAATGTGGCCCAGGGGGCTCTTCCTCCTGCGCAGGATTCGCCTCCTTTTTCTTGAACATCTCACTCCTTCCCCATCCCTATCTCCTTCCCCACTCAGCCAGACCCAGCTCCCCATGGCACCCAGCTCCCCATGGCACCCAGCTCCCCATGGCACGCAGCTCCCCGAGCCAGGGCTTTGTTGAGACCAGCAGCTCATCTGGACGCTATTCATTCTGCAGGCTCTACAGCAGCCATGAAGAGCCCAGTGGGTTTAAACCCCACGAGGGGAGAAAGTGGGTCACGTCTGTGAGACCAAAGAGCAGGCCTCAGGCAAGGGGCAGAGCTGCCAACCTGGGAAAGAAGTCCCGTCTCCGGATCCACCTCCCAAACCTGCTGGGCAGGGGCAGGTTTAGGCTCCCATCCCCCCCGACCTTTCCCCTGCTCGGCTGGGGCCACACCAGGATTCCTTGGGGACGCCACCTGGGGCAGGAGTGGCAGGTGCCCAGGGCAGAACCTGACGGGAAGGTGGCTCTCAGCCCCAGCCAGACAGGACTTCTTTCTGCACTTCCCGCCCCATGTGCAGTGCCCGCTCCTGAGCGCTACCCCCCCTTCACCCTCCCTCGCGCGGCTCCAGGGCCATTCAGGGGAGCGGTCCCTGTCACTCCAGGTGAGACAGCTGCCCGCCTGTTCTAAGTCTCATGGCGACCTGAGCTTTCCTGAGTAGGGTTTCTCCCAATAGCAAGGAGGTCACTGTGTGACCATTTGCTTAAAGGCAGATGTCTCCCTCTGGCCCAGGAGCCCTGTGAGGGCAGGAGGGGCTGTCTCAGCCCCTGCTGTGTCCCAGCACCGCCCTGCCCGGGGCCGCACACACTAGGTGCTTAGAATGACACAGAAGCTCCCAAGGAGCCGAGGCCATGGGGAGGGAACCAGGTAAGAACTCGGGCCCTCGAATTAGGCCGCGATTCAGATTCCAGCTCCTCGGAGTCTAGGCAACTTGATTTCACTCGGGCCCGTTTTCTCATCTGTGAAATGGGGGCCATTAAAACAGACACCTCAAAAAACAAAACAAGAACACAGACACCTCTGCCCACTGTGGGGTGGCACTGAGACACACAGCGAGCCCTACCCACACACCTGGAGCTCAGCGCTGAAGATGTGCTGCCGCTGAATCCTGCAGTGAGAGGCGGTCACTGCTATTGTGCCCTCGTGACAGAGGAGGAAACTGAGGCTGTCCCAGCTGTCGGTGTAAGTTACTCCTGTGCTCAGCAGGGACCTGGACCAGTAGGCCCTGTTTTTATTAGTCTGAGGAGGAGGAAGAGGGGCTGGGAGGCCAGTGTGGGGAGCACAAAAGGTCGCTGCGGGGAGTGTGTTCGGGGGAAGGGGGTGCCGGTACCAGAGAGAAGAGAATGGACTATGGAGTCCGACTTGCTGCGTCCTTTGGGAATTGCTTCCCCTCTCTGGGCCTCAGTAAGATGGGGACAATGGCAGCACCTACCCCACGGGGCTGCTCAGAGGATCCAGGAGCTATTTCCTTACTGCTCTATTCCCAGCACCTGGAACTGAATGAAGGAGAAGATGCACATGACATGCTCAGGGCTTGACAAAAGGCTGAGGGAAAGGATGGGACCTGCCATTACACTGCTCACTCCTTTGCTCAGCGTTTCCTGGGCACCTGTTCTGGCCCCAGCATGGTTCCCGGCGCTGACATCCTAGCGTAGGAGATAGACAGGTAATAAAGAGTGAGACAACTTCAGAGGGAAGTGCCATAAAGACTATGGGACAGGTGAGGCGATACTACAGACACTTTAGTCACAGAAGGTCTGTTCGTGAGGGTGACGTGTGCCCAGAGACTTACTCAGCCACGTCAAAGCCAGAGAAGAGCCCCGGCCGGTGTGGCTCGGTGGTTGAGTGTCGACCTATGAACCAGGAGGTCATAGTTCAATTCTCGGTCAGGGTACGTGCCCAGGTTGTGGGCTCAATTCCCAGTAGGGGACGCGCAGGAGGCAGCCAATCAAAGATTCTCTCTCATCACTGATGCTTCTCTCTCTCCTTGCCTCTCTGAGTGTGCACATGTGTAAAGGTGCACATGTGTAAAGAACACAGCGATTCCAGGAAGCGTCAGAAAGCCTCACATGGCCCAACTGCAGTGGGTGTGTGAGCAGAGGGGTGATGCCATCCAGAGGTCAGAGGGGATAGAAAAATGTTCTTTCTGCCCTTCACCGAGGGCTTCTCATGCCCAGCTTCCCCCAGCGCCGGCATTTTATGACATGGCCTTTCCCCCGGCCTTCCCCCTTCCCAGCTGGTTGGCATTCTCCTTGCCAGGGGTAGCTTCCTCCTTCTTCCTTTTGGAAGCTTCAAAGGTAAATGCCTCCTCTGGAGAAAGTCTCCCTTAGCCCTCTGGAAAGGAGGGGGCAGGGAGTTCTTCCCGGGGCCCCTCTCGGGGTGGTTGGGGTCCTTGCCTTTCCCCAAAGGGCTTTCAGGGACTTCTT